CAGTGCTCATCAAACTTGTTTAAGACACCATCCAACTTATCTTTGTCCTCTGGTTGAGCAAACACAAAAGTATTGTAGACTTCCAATGCTTCTGGTCCGGCAACGGTTAGCAGTATTGCTATTTTTCTAGCATCTGACTTTGTATCCGCTCCGACAGCTGCAGTGTACAGCAGAAACTGTTGCTTGAATGTCCTCCATTTCCAGTCAGATTTAACGGACTTGGCGGTTTTAATGCATCCATTCTGCGTTGCTTCTTGCTCCCGACAAAGTTTTACCCGTGTCCTGGTACCATGTAATGTTCTTATTGGTTATAAATAAGACATCTTCTTGTATCTTTAGACTAGCTTTACTAGCCAACTTTATTAGCCAACATGCAGTACCTTCACATCTTGTTCTGCTAACATCTATGTCCATAGATGTTATACTGCCGCCTAGTGGTAACATATATGCATTGTAACTAAGCATAAACACCTATCATTACAACAGGTGCTCTTCCACCGAAGCGCTGGCGACGAGTATGTCGTCCAGGTAGACGAACACAAACGGCAGGTCCCGTAGCACCGAATCCATCAGGCGCTGGAACATTTGAGCGGCGTTCTTGAGCCCAAAAGGCATCCGCAGGAACTCGAAAAGTCCAAACGGCGTTATCACTGCCGTCTTGGGAACTTCCAGGGGATGCATGGGCACCTGGTGGTATCCGCGCACCAGGTCCACTTTAGAAAACACCAGCGTACCGGCCAGATGTGCTGAAAAGTCTTGAATGTGCGGCACCGGGTAGCGGTCAGGTGTTGAGGCGGCGTTAATCCCTGCACGGGCGCCAACCGCCGTTCGGCTTGGGAACGACGTGCAGAGGAGAGGCCCAAGGACTGTCAGACCGGCGGACGATACCCAGGCGTTCCATGGTTGAAAACTCCGCCCTCGCTACTGCAAGCTTAGAAGGGTTCAACCGCCTGGCCCTGGCGTAGACTGGGGGACCTTCGGTGGTGACGTGGTGCTCCTACCCATGCTTGGTGGTGAGCGCGGAGAAGGTGGGTAGCGTCAGGTCTGGAAATTCAGCCAACAGCCTGAGAAAAGTGTTCGCCCCCGACAGCGAGCCCGACAGCCCGTCGTATGCCGCCTTGCCAAGTGCACACACGAGGGAGGAAAACGTCAAGGCATCAACCAAGCGTTTATTTTTAACGTCCACAAGGAGTCCGTGAGCACATAAAAAGTCTGCCCCGAGGAGGGGAAAATAAATGTCTGCCATCACAAAATCCCAGTTGAACCGCTGTCCTCCAATACACAAACACATAGGCCTCACGCCGTACGTACGAATGGGGCCGCCATTAGCCGTCGTCAACCGCGGTCCGTGTCCCCCACGAGCGACGTCTTCCCTCGACGCAGGAACCATACTCCGTTGAGCGTCTGTGTCACACAGAAACAAACTTCCTGAGACTCTGTCGCTGACGAAGAGAAGCCTGCTCGTGCCGCCAACGCTCAGGGCCACTACTGAGCGCCGGCTCCCCCGTTTCCCGGAGGTTTGTAAATGCAGGGAGCGATACACTTCTTCGCCCTGGCCCCGAACCGCGCGTGGTAAAAACACTCTCCTGTGTCCCCACGCCGGTTTGGCATCGTCGTGTCCAGCCTCCCCATGCCTTCTTAACTGGTGAGGGAGCACTGAGCGTCACAGCTAGCGCCTCTGCACCGGACTGCTGGGTAGCCAGGAAAAAACGGTCGGCCTCTTCAGCCAAGGCGCGGGGCTCCGTAATGGACGTGTTGGCTAGCGCCGTCTGAACCCGGGAAGGCAAGTGGCGCAGGAACGACTCCATAAACAAAATCCGGGGATCTTCCCCCCCCAGCAGATTTAGCATTTTCTCCATGAGCTGAGATGGCTTGCTGTCTCCTAGGCCTTGAATGTCAAGAATCTGGCGGGCCCTCTCCTTAGCAGATAAGCTAAATGTCTTAAGGAGAAGGGCCTTAATCGCCTCATATTTGCCATGGGGTGGGGGGTCTGCGATAAATCCAACCAACCTGGACGACGTGGAGCTTCCCAGCGCTGCTACCACATGGAAATATTTCAAGTCCCCGTCACGGACTTGTCGGCAGGCAAAGTGTGTCTCCACGTGTGCGAACCACGCCGCAGCGGCATGCTCCCAAAACTCCGGCAGCTTTACAAAAACATTGCGATCAGCCATGTTCATTAAGTCTTCGGAAACTTTCACGAAAACGTCAGGGTCACCAGTGTAGAGCCGATGAAAGGGAGTCAGAGGCGGTGTGTTCAGTATGGAACTCCACACTTTATTATCCATTAATCAAGACAAGGTAAGTACATTCTCCAGCACCTCGGGGGTCCAGGTGGATGGCAGCTCTGTCCTGATGATCCGCTGTGCACTTTTCAGATTAGGGGTCCTTCTCCAGCAGATCCATTTCTCCAGAATTGTCCTAATTACAGAGAAAAACAAGAGAAAAAGAAAAAAGTGAATTAATCATATTAAACACAGGGTTGAAAAAGTATTATTGCAAAATGTAACTCTAAGCATTTCAGACAAACAATCCTTAAAGGATCATTTAAAATGATGTACTGTTCTGGTTTTTAAAAAACTAAAGAGAAGAAATGACAGTCACACGTGCATCCCTTTGACAGCATGGCACAAACTAACATCAAGCAAAAGGCTGCTGTCTGTTTTTGATTGTCTTATTATGGGATTAGGATAAATTAAATAAACTTTAACCTTATAAAAGATGATCAGATCTGGTGGAAATATTTAAAATAGGCTTTTCTTTTAGCCCTACCTCAAAGCAGCATGAGCTGAACACAAAGGTTGTAATGTTGTCCCAAAGTTTAATAAACAGTAAAACATTGCAAAATGTCAGAGAAATAAATAAAGCAAACAGCAGCTACACGTCAGGGTAGCATTTTATAAATCCCACCGTACTGTAGGCTATACAGGTCTAAATGTTTTCACTTTGGTCTGTTTATTTAACAGAGCCAAGATCTCTGTATGACTTTAGTAAACTTCTGAATTGAATTAAAAATAAGTGTAAACCAACAGTGCAGTACGTCCAGCTAGCTAGTTAGCGTCACTAACGTCACGTATTTATCCGTATTATTTAACGAAAATGTACGTTTCAATGCCCCTTGGGTTTGACGTGTGTGACGTTAGTTAAGTAAGTTAAAACCCAATACTCACATTTATTAGTGATTCCTCCGCTTGCTGCTGCTTTTAAATCCACTCTGCTGGGGAGACCGGACCGCCATTTAATTTGAAAAAAACTCAGGGGGTGTTTCTCAATCGCGAGTAAAGCTGCTGCAGAGCCACTATTTCAAGCATACTACGTCATCGAGTGCCGCCGAAGTACTGTTCCAATCTCCAGCATACTTGGAAATCTACCGAGCCCGGCGTACTCCGTTTGGAGAAATATCGAGGCAGCACATGTGTAGACTCCGCGGTCTTAAAATCCCCACAATGCTTTGCGCACGGACCAATTTCCAAAATCTGTGGCGGAAAATGTAAGGCGGGGCCTCTCATATGACGCACACCTGCACACTTGCTAGCCTGTTCCACTCTTTGTTTTCCAAATGTCAGGAAGTATTCTTGACTCGCTTCTGAAGCAAGATGCTCGGCAGACATGTGCTACCAAGCAAGCGTACTCGCGATTGAGAAACACCCTGAGTGTTTCTCAATCGCGAGTAAAGCTGCTTCAGAGCCACTATTTCAAGCATACTACGTCATCGAGTGCCGCCGAAATACTGTTCCAATCTCCAGCATACTTGGAAATCTACCGAGCCCGGCGTACTCCATTTGGAGAAATATCGAGGCTGCACATGAGTAGACTCCGCGGTCTTAAAATCCCCACAATGCTTTGCGCACGGACCAATTTCCCCAAATTTGTGGCAGAAGATGTAAGGCTCTCATATGACGCACACCTGCACACTTGCTAGCCTGTTCCACTCTTCGTTTTCCGAATGCCAGGAAGTATTCTTGCCTCGCTTCTGAAGCAAGATGCTCGGCAGACATGTGCTACCAAGCAAGCGTACTCGCGTTTGAGAAACACCCTCACTCTTCCCTGCGCACATTGCACCCTGGGATATGGTAGACCGCGGAGCATACATAAGATGTATCCTCCAAATCCGGGAAAAGAAGGCTGCATTCGTGGGCCGCATTCGGAGGAGTCTCGTCTTTTTTTAAATTGGGATAGCCTTCTTTCGGTGGAAGTGACGTATGCGGTCTACAAATGCAGCCTCCGAAGGGGGCAGCCCCTGAATTGAGACACGGGGTGTTTCTCAATCGCGAGTACGCTTGCTTGGTAGCACATGTCTGCCGAGCATCCAATGATGTAACCTTTTTCAATGATTGACAAGTGAGACAAGATATTAATTAGCATGCTTTTTATGAACTCTGGGAGCTAATTTACCATAAAAGTACAAAATAAATCCCCATTGTAAGTACATTTATTTCAATTGTAAATTACATTGAGTCGGCAACCAGGCCATACATTGACTATACCTGGACTACATAATTGTTAACAACATTATGTGTACAACTTACCTAATATAGAAAACGATCATCTTATTTTGTCATTGTCTGACTCTGAGCCCATATAGACAGATAATTAAATCACATAAAAGCTGAACAGTTTATGCATAGTCATCAGAATGCATGAACATGTATCCACCAACGTATAGCTTGCTACAGTCATGCAATGTAAGACATACTCTGAGTCATATTAGAATAATGTATTTATTCTAATGTTCGATTCTTTTTTTAGTAAACAAATATCTTCCACAATCACCCTATTTGTACTAATAATTTGTAGAGTATTCTGCCATGAGGTAAATCTCAAACTATTATTTTGTTGTTATTTTATCTTTTATAATTGAAAAAGTAAATGTCCCATCCTTTTGTTTAAAAGCTAGGCACTGATAGTTCAACCGAGAAATTTGCAAGCCAAAATAATATTATTTATTTTTCCTCATCTTATTTTGAAAAAATGTGACCGGAAAGACTGACTCTCTCTTCTCCGCGGGCCACGGGCAGTTTGACAGTGGTACTTGAGACGGCTGTCAGGCTCCATTCTCCCTGAAAGCCTCAGTGAACAGCGTGCTTCTCTCAGCATGGCATCTGACGAGCTGGCAAAGAAGCTGCAGTCGCGGCTGGCGGCTACGCAGGAGACTGAGCCGAGGCCGGAGCCCAAACACAGCCCGGTCCGACCCAAGCCGCAGGAGGCCGATGGAGCCTGCGGAGACTCGTCCTCCGAGCTGTCCGCGATACTGACCCGCAGGCAGGACATCAACGAGGGCAACGCTGCTCCACGGCTGACCCGCGTCTTCAACCCCTACACGGAATTCAAGGAGTTCTCCCGCAAGCAGATCAAGGACATGGAGATGATGTTCAAACGGTAACCTGACGTCGTGTCGTCCTCTCAAACGCAGTCCGACATGTTTACGCGTAGTCGTGGGGATTTGGGCTGAATGAGCGTGTGCGGCGGGAAGCTCATGATGAGATTAAGATGCTGCTGTGACGTGAAGCCTCCCGGTGAAGCAGGCTGTCACTTTGTGGGGGATTCACACTGACTCATTACTGCAGTCTTTGTTGCTAGTAGCCCACATTTTATCCCTCTACCTCTAGTGTTGTGTCGTGATCAGAGGAGAGACCTGGCTGTGGCTTGCTACGCATCTCCTATACAATTGAGCGGTTCGACCCAATTGACAACCTCAGCTGGCCAAGATATGCTGTGCAGGTCAAAGGAAATAGTCTGGAGTCCCAGGTCTATCACTAAATGGTAGTCAAATTAAACTAAATTTAAAAACATGATTTAATTATAATGCCATACAGTAATGTAAACGGTTTTGTTTGACCAACAGTCAAACATCCACATATATTTAATTATCTTGGCTTATATGATAGGGAATTATGCAAATTATGTTGGTTTTCATGCTGTTTTAGATTTACTTGCTGGTCAAATTGACTTGGAACTCTTTTTTTATGTGTAACATGAGGCTTGAGTTAAACTCGGAATGTAACAGTTATCCATTTTATGATAAATGTGTGTGGACTTCGAGGTCTTTTAGTTGAACATCTGAACTGAGAAGCACTGGTGATGTCACTGTAGAACATTTAGGTGAAGCCTGTTTTGGCACACAACAAACTTTTGCTCCCTCTCTCTTTCTCAATCGCACTTTCTAAACCCAACCTGCGCTCTGAGTTATAAAAACAAATCATCTTAAAAACACATCTAAAAAAGATGCTTAGGCCCTGTGGCAGTTAATTAGTGTAAACCCTCATTTGATTGTTAAAACAGGAGTACTTTTACATTGTTGCTTGGAAAAAGTCGACCACATCTGCTCTGTCAAATTACAATATTTTTAAATTGATTCAAACCAAATGAGTCTTATTATTGTGTTAACAGTATGTTGACTCAACAGATGATGGAGACATAAGCTGATTCAGAGACTTCATAGTTGACTGTCATCGCGTGTTGGTATGCTTTCAGTCCAGAATGAGAGCAGCTATTGTCTTTGGAAGTTTCCTCAGGGGCAGACCCCGCCATGTGACAGCAGTATCATTGTGTGCATGCTGCTGGAATCTCGGGTCACGACTCTTTTGTTATCATGAGTCAAAATTGATCACTGCAGTTCTTTGATGACTGAAAAATAAATCTGGAGCTGTCAGTTGAAGTTTTTTTTTTTTTTAACCTTTATATAATCACAAGTGATTCAGACTCGTATATCTTAACAACTAGAATTCTGAACACCCCATTGTAATGAGTTGAATACTTTGGTTTGTGGCTAAATAGAGTGGTTTAGTGGTGACACATTTTTGTTGGCCGACCGGGAAGTCATCATTGCAAGGGGTCCCTTTGGAAAACAAGTGATGGGATTTTTCATTGGATTTCTGAATATTGCAGAATATAAGATCTGTTGAAAAACTTGTTTATGATACTAACATGTTTTGGTCAGCAGGATAATCTCCAAATATTGAAACCAATTGTTTGATTTTTGAAGCGTAAATGGATCACCAAAGTAAAAAGCTAACGTCAGGCTATAAAAACCACATGACGGTCGCATGACTTCACGTCACTGTCGCTAAGCAAAAGACAGACCGGTTAGCTGCATGATGACATTTAGCCACTTGTTAGCGAGCGCTGATTTATGTACCTTTTTTAAAGCTTCAGATTGGGTGTTTACTGATGTATATCTCGTATAACAAAATGTGAAAATCTCGCAAGCTTGTATACATGCTGTCTTCGAGACAAGGGAATCGGGTTCAGGGTTTTAGGACTCATTCCTCCACCACTCTATACCTGTAAAATGATTGGTCTCCCGAGATGTATTAAGATGGTGAACCTCTTATTTTAGCACCATATCTGCTAAGCAACAGCATGTTAGCATTGTCAATATGATGGCTGTAGTATGGCCGTCAGGACATCGTTTTGATGAATGTTGAACTTTGATGTTTTATCTGCACGGGTGCATTTTTTTTAAATGTATACTCATGGTAGTGGGTCAGTAAAACAAGAATTCTGAGATAAAGTTAATTCAGAACACTATAATAATGTCAGAAAAAAATATTTTATACTTAAAAATGTATATTAAAAGTAAATAACCAATAATTTAAGGGAATCTAGAGGCCTATTATCTCACATAATCTAGCAACTCATCACTATCCTACATGCTGGCTTGCTAGCTTACATTTACACTGATTTTATAGATGTTTTATTGAGCAGAATAATATCCACATATTAACACCACCATCATTTTAAAAGCGTTAATGCAATTGCCAGAAGTAAATAGCCAACGAAATGCTATAAACCCCTCAGAGGATTTCACGTCACTGCCACTAGGATAAAGTTGGACTTGGGTTAGGAGTGATGACATGCTAACTCATTTCCTGGTATAGGACTCATTCCTGCACCACTCTATCGCACAGGCGCATGTCTTCATAGCCGAGCGTCTAAAATGAATAATACCTTCACCTATTGGGGAGTCAAAAATACATTTTAATTCTTTATGTTATGAGTTAATTCAATATATTTGTTATGCAAACAGTGGGATCTGCTTTGCATTTAGTCCCTGTAACATCCAAAATCATTACTCTACTTTTGGCACAATTTGAGCAGCTGGCAGGAATCTTCGTATGTAACATAATGATCAGAAATTAATAATGTATTTTTGAGAATCAACACAGTAAAACAAATCATTATATCAGTAATGTAGCAATACTTTCCTATAGTTTAGATTGATGGGGCAGATCGACTGGAATTGTAGCATACTTTATGGACCAGCTTTTGTTCTGTGGTCCACCCGCTGCATTTAAACACAACCTGGTTTCCAACCCCCTAACTTGGTTGTCATGTAGGAGATTCAGCTACCCCGCTCTCAAATCTCTTTAGTCCCACTTCTTTTTCTGCACTGATCCCATTCACACAGTCCACATCCCCACGGGGCATCCACCGCCTGGTGACCCAGTTTTCCTCTTCTGAAAGCTTTTGGTTTGAAGGCATATTTAAGTTTTTAATCAATCTGTAATAGATAAAGAGTTTTGAAATATTTAGAGCAAGTATGTCCGGATTTACCCATGTTTCCTGAATGATGTACCAATTAGATTTTTGGTCTGCTTTATGTTCATACGTCATTGGCAAATAGGAGCATCTTGTACCTTTTTTATAATATGTACATACAATGCGCTTCTTCCTTTTTTATTGTACTGCATCAGTGAGCTTTCCGACCTGAGCTGAACTGAATGAGCAATAATGGAGGAGATGGAGAACAACACTAGCAGAGAGTGAGCTCCCTCGTGCCAAGGGCTCAGGCATCTATAATTAAAACGGAATCTGCAGAACAATGAGGCTCAGTCCAGACTGTTGCAGGCAACGTGGAATCAAAACTCTCTAAAAGGAAGGGTGTGTAACTTGACTGACACAAATAGTGGATATATACTGCAGTGTTAATGCCACTCTAATTCCTTGCCCTTCAGAATCCATGTCAAATATGCAAATAAATATGTCTAGTGATGACTTCTGTAATTGTGTTTGCCATGAAATGCTTAAGATTCAGCTTCAAACTAATTTCCCCACTGAGAAAGAAAAATAATATACGTTTTGTCATTGTTGTGCTAGTTTTATCTGTTTTAAAATAGCATTCTTATGGTAGAAGACTGGTGCACGTTGGATACATTCAGGAAAAAAAAAACAGATGCATAGCTTTACATTTTACTTTATTTATTTTGTACAGACAGTAATGCAAGTGCCAACAGAATCCTCTTGGTAGAGGAAATTAGCTCAAAAAAAGCTTACCAGAAACATACATAATTAAAACGTCTAATTCCAAGATTTCCTAGATGTCGATCTTCCCTTTTTAGGAGTAGTGTTTTAATAATGTCGGAGCTGAGGAGTCATCTTACTAACGTTTTACTATTGTTGAGATAGACACATACGCATTACCAATAAGGCACTCGCAAGAAAATGGCAACGGTGCATGTGTATGGGTGACGATAAAAAGTAGTTATTGTCAAATGTTGCCTGTGAAAATAATTGATTTCACCTTGCCTTAGCAAAAATCCAATATCGTGCATCCATAGTTTTATTTTTTTCTTCGGCACATGACTAGGTTGAAAGTCTGGTCTAGTCGCTCAGTCTGTATGTATGTCACCACCAGAGTACTCAAAGGGTCCATCCCCAGGGGTGAAGTGCTATTTGTTAACCTACAGCAGCGCACCTATTTCATGTGTTCACGCTCGATGTTAAGTTGTGGCTTGTTTAGAAGATTATATAACCACCGATATTAACACTCCACCAAAATTGGACCATGCAGGAAAGTCAGTAAATCAGTCTGCATTGTTCTATGATTGAATGTGGCTGATTATTACGTTATCTGCAGCTAACAGCTGCTTTAGAGTGAATTCCTTCAGCTTAAATAAAAATCCCTGCAGCATCTGAAGGCTGCAGGACCGATATGGTGATAAATCTGTGTCGCGTCAGTGCCCAGTGCAGTTTACGCACGGCTGGTCACTGTGTTAACCTTCATTACATCTCCTGAAAATGAGAGCAGGCAGCTACAGTATAGAAACACTGACCTTTACACATGGAAGACTCAGTTTTAGCTCCATATTCTGCTTTCTTATGAAGGAGACGTCCAGTTAGGGTGCGTCATGGGATATATGTGTTTTCCTTTTTGAGCAAAAGTGTTGTGTACCAATAATGACTATTTAACCATGTACGTGGGGGCAATTCATTCGAATTATTCATGAAATAGTGTGGGTCCAATCAATAGTCTACGATAGATAGTAAGTACGACACTACCTCCTGGAAAATCCTCGTTCATCTTCTGAGCTGCTGTTATCTTTTATATCTCTGATAAGTTCAGCTGTTTCAAAGCTATTCAAACATCTTCAACCCTT